AGTAAAAACTGGGAGGACCACTACTGCCCCCTCCCTCTCTGTGGCCACCTGATCCCTCGAGGTGGGGGGAGGGTCACATTCTACCTCTTCTGGGAGGGAGCAGGGTCCATGCTACTGTCCCAGCCTCTCTTTGAGGGGCTACCCTGCCATTTCTGCTCCACTTGGGGCACAGGTCAAGGGGGAAGAGCTCCATACATGGCCCTGGAGTGTCTGAATCCAGCCCTGAGAGTTGCAGAGCTTTATGGGATTAAATGTTCCTCTTTCCACAGGCTCCTGGGAACAGCCCTGCTCAGAGCAGTGACTCCTGGAGGGACCAGCACCAGCTACTGTAGAGAGAGGGGTAGGGGACCCCCATATGGACAATTCTACATTGATCTCCATGTCAGGGACATTCCCTGTGAGTGAGTGTTTGACTCGAGACCTGCTCCATGGAAGTTTAATTCATCTTCTGATCTGATGTAACTCGTGACCCATGCCAATGTCTCACCCTGCTGAGCTCTTTGTCTCAGCAATACCTTGTGGCAGTGAGTTTACCAGGCTAGTTGTGTGCTGGGCAGCAGCTACCTTGGAGGCACTCTTCAGAAGTGGGCCAGGCAGAGGCAGTACGAGGGTGGGGGCGGAAGGAAATGGTGGCCAGGGCTTGTCAATGGGGAGAAGGCGGAGAGGATGGGCTGGTGTCTGGAGGTGGGGCAGAAGGGAGCAGGGGTGGGGGGCTGTTCTGTGGAGCTGGGGAGCATGTCAGAGTTCTGGGTCTGAGCAGAGGAGGGGATTAGTGGGCAGAGGGGTTAAGCAGGGATCTCTGAGGAAGCTGAGTCAGGAACTCTGGGTGAGGAATTGGCTCTGGGCTGTGGGAGGGGTAATCTCAAAGAACAGGGGCTGAGAGGGTCTGTGGGGTGGAGGGTTGTGACAGGGGAGAGATGGTATTAGGGGCTGTGGGTGTTTGTTTGGGGGTCTGGGCTGTGTGAGACAGAGGGAGCAAGATGCTCAGGGACTACAATAAGAGGGTTCAGTGGGTGGAGCATGCGGTGGGGGCTGGAGTCAAAGGGCCTCAATCTCCTCTTCCTTAGACCAGACATACTCCACTATAACAACCTGGATTTACCTTGGAGTGAGTGAGAGGGGAATCAAGCACTTTGACTCCAGTACAGATACTCCTAATTTACACCAGGGTGAGTGACAGGGGCATCAGCCCCATTGACACCAGTGGAGTTACTTCTCATTCTTCTTAAAATTGGGGTATTTCGATGCTGATTTTTTGCACACAGCTAGAGATCAAACCAGGGCACAGATCCTCACACCAGGGTCTCCAGCGCTCAAGGGTTACCCCAGCAGAGTACAGACCAGCCAGCAGAAGTTTAGGGGACATCAAATTACAGTGTTATTAGTCGGAAAGTTTAGCTCTCCAGTTAGGCGCATCAGCCTTTGAAGTGTTTGGTGTCATGCCCAACGGATTACACCATGCATGTGCAGGGAGCGAGGATGAGCTGTGTGAAAGCTACCTTTGACTCACAGGACCTAAGTTGCTGAAGTGGGAATTCTCTGGCCCACAACCCTCCCCACCATGTGGGCTCTATGAGTTCAAATCTAACTGGTAACCAAAAGATGAAACTCAAAATAGACAGTGTCAGCCTCTGTCCAAAGATCTTTAATTTGGGGAAAATATCACCTGAGCACAGCAGACCATTCAGAAGGTGCTGAAACTACTTTTGAAAGGAAAATAAATTACATATGCAAATGCCTGTAGGGAGGGGAGGATGATTAGGGGTTGAAGAATTGTTGGGAACAGTGGGAAAGGGATTTAGGGGCCCGTGACAGGAGGGGTCATTATAGGGAGAGGGATACATGGGGTGGGTTGGGGAGGGCTGGGGGCTAGTTGGAGTGAGAGAGGAGAGGTGTGGCACTAGGAAGGCAGACAAGAGGGTAAATGATAGGGGAGTGGGGGAAAATAGGGGCAAGGGGACCTGACAGCCCTATATTCCCCCCCTGAGTGTGTGCCAATATCTGGGGACCCAGCGTATCTTCAGGAGTCTGACCCCACACCTCTCAGAGGGATTGTTTCAGGCTGTATTCATCTTCTTGAGGTGTTCTCACTTCTCTGAGAAGAGCTCATTGAGATGAATAGGACCCTTCACTGAGCCTCCTATGCTGTAGATGGTTGTGTCGAGCTTTGTACTGCACTTACCAAGAGTCTCTGGAGCCAGAGGTGAGGGGAACCCAGACTGGCCAAACAGTGCACACAGTACAGCTCCTTTCCAGAAAATTGTGGTGGCTCTTAAAAAAGCCTTTTGGTCCACTTGTCATCCATACCCATTGCTACCTACAAATGACACAATGACCACTAACTCCTACCAATAGTTAAAAAAACCTAGGAAAATAAATAGCAAAAAAAAAAATTGTTATCGCAGCATTAAGATTTCCCAGTGACAGCTCGTGCCTTTCCAGAATTCAGAGTTCAGCAAAACTAAAGCTTCTGAAAACCAGGAAATACAGACGTAAATCTGCCCTCTTTGAGTGATGCCCCACAACACCCATAACACACATACTCGCATTCTGCCTTTTCACTGCACTTGCCTTACACTCAAACACTGAGCCTGCACCCCTCACAGAATACCACACTTGGAAAATTTAACAACCACTTTCTACCCTCTTACAACCTCTTTACACACGCATACAGGATATCACCTAAACTTATACTTCATTAAATCCACAGCCTGCTCTCATATCTCACCTCACTACTGACTATACCCATGTAAAGAAGACCCCAGTGCTCTGCTACTGACACCACCTTCACAATTCTGTACTGAAAGCATGCAGACGGGAATCTCTAGGTACATGTGCACATCTTTATTTTGATCACCCACATTTGGGAGGTGCGGGGGTGATGGGGCTCAGACCTAGATCTCCTATCACAATCACAGCTTTGTGATGCTCCTCAAACTAATCCCCAGATCTCCTCATATCACAAATACACCTCTGCCAACCTGCATCACCTACTGCCTCCACCGTTCAATACACCTACATCTAATACAAGGATTGCAGCTGTAGTACATGCAGATAATTTCCAGTGGTATTGCCTGCTCCAGGGGCCAGAGTGAAGGTTACATGGGCATGCACTTTAACTCTGTATTTCTTGGGTTTGTTTGAGTTATGCTGAACCTGACATTCTGGAAGGGCACGAGATACCACCGGGCATCCTTACTTCTGTGTTAACAACGGCTTGCTTTTATTTTTTGACATTTATTTATGATAGATAGATAGATTCTTATCTAATTTACATAAGTGTAAATCTAGAGTAACGACACTGACTTCAATGAACTCAGTTTCGCTTATTATTACTGTGAAACACAGCATTTTGCATAAACAGATAGCACATTAAATTCCCATGGAGACAATAATTCCATCAGCTGATTATACCTGTAAAGACGCACAGAAAGGGAAAAATCTGGAAATTTTATTTTTGGTGGATAATGTTCACTCAGTCAGTTTCCTCAGCGCACCTTTGATCTCCTTGTTCCTCATGCTGTAGATTATCGGATTCATCATGGGAGGGACCACGGAATAGAGCACAGCCACCATGAGATCCAGAGCAGATGTTGAACTGGAGGTGGGTTTTAGGTAAGCAAAGGCACCAGTGCAAACAAACAAGGAGACCACAGTGAGGTGAGGAAGGCAGGGGGAGAAGGCTTTATGACGGCCCTGCTCAGAGGGGATTCTGAGCACTGATTTGAAGATCTGAACATACGACACAATGATAAAAACAAAGCAGCCTAAGAGTAAACACACACTGAATGCAAGAACTCCAACTTCACTCAGATATGAGTCAGAGCAGGAGAGCTTGAGTAGCTGGGGGATCTCACAGAAGAACTGATCCACCATGTTGCCTCCACAGAAGGTCAATGCAAATGTGTTCCCGGTGTGTAGCACAGAGTAGAGAATACCACTGATCCAGGCACTGGCTGCCATTTGGACACAAGCTCTCCTGTTCATCACAGTCTCATAGTGCAGTGGTTTGCAGATGGCAACATATCGATCATATGCCATTACAGTGAGGAAAGCAAAGTCAGCCTCAGCGAAGAAGACAAAGAGAAAGACTTGAGCAACACACCCAGTATAAGAAATTGACCTGGTGTTCAATATGTAATTGGCCATGGATTTGGGGATGGTGACAGAGATGAAGCCAATGTCCAGGATGGATAGATTCACCAGGAAGAAGTACATGGGGGTCTGAAGGTGGTTGTTGAGGGCTACAACCATGATGATAAGAAGATTTCCCACCAGGGCTGACAGATAACTTACTAGAAACACCACAAAGTGCAAAATCTGCAGCTCCCGAACCTCAGAGAATCCCAGGAGAAGGAACTCAGTCACAATGGTTCGGTTGGACATTTTCCTTCGCAGTACATGATGTCCTGCCTGTGGAGGGAAGGAGAAGGGCAATGGTCAGATTAGAGTGACAGATGGAATGACCCCGAATCTCTCTCTGTAATATCTCAAGGTGTGAATGTCAAAGGTGCACAACACTTATCACTTCAGTTCACTAGGAGAGGTGAGTGCTCCTTGACTCCGACAATCAGACCACTAGACCAGTGCATTATCACACTAGGGTAAATTTGCATAACTCCCTTAAAGTCAATGGAGCTGCGTCAGTTTACACCTTCTGCCCAAGATATGGCTTGATAAAG